TGACCCGCGGGGTGCGGAGCGCTGCGAGAGGGGAGCGCACGCAGCCTGTGCGTGCATCTGCAGAGTGGAAGAGAAGGGAAGGGCGAACGCTATTTCAATCCACCCTTTGTTTCCCCAAGGTTAAGCCCTGCTTACTAGAATAATCTTATCAGCTGAAACCATTTCAACAGAACTGGACCCTTAACAAAATCGAGATGCAAAGCGCTTGAAATATGGTAAAAGTTAGGCCATTGTAGGCTTTGATTATACGTAAGCACGGCTAAACAGGCTTGGCAGGGGGAAGACTTTTGAAAAGCCTGGGTGTCTGGATTGTTATTTGTGTTACTGCTTAATTTACTGGAGTGCATCTGATCCTTCTGAGAAGAAGGCAGGCGCTGTGCACAGAGCCTGACCTGAGTTACACCAGGATATCTGTAATGACAGCAGCAAAGCTGTTCTGGATATTTACCAGTACAGGGGGTTCAAAGTCTCATTTGAGGGCCCTGATCTTCATAGGGATGTCACTTTCTACTGCTGAGAGACAGCTGATTGACACTGGATTTTTTATGATGTATAACAAAGTCTCTGAGCGAAGGACACAGTGGAAAATAATAGTGGTTAAATCTCTATAACAAGAAAACATTTATTTTGACAATTTAGCCTTTCTAATAATAAATTCTTTCGAGAATAAAGAATGTTGCTATTTTTCTGTGTGACGCAAGAAAGGGTTTTGACCTAGGGCAAAAAGAGAGAGCTTCAGTGTCACTTACAAAGTACTCAGATGATTGTTTAGGAGTAGCCACAAAGTTTACATGCTCTTTGCTTTCATTGTCCAATATTTAAAGAGAACTCGTCTAAAGAAATATGTGTCATGTACAGCTCTTTAAATAAACAAAAGGAAAGCAATACAGATCTCTGAATGATTAGGTGATCCCTAGCTGCTGCTTACACAGACAGAGTAGCAACTGGAGGCTCAATTAAATTTCTTAATTAGAACTTAGCACAAAATTACTTGGATTTTATGAACGTATAAGCTGCATTGCCGAGAGCCACATGTGTTTTATTTAAGAGGACATATAAATGTGGTGAGTACAACCTATTAGAGAGTCACAAGTGACTTCAAAAGAAGTAAGTAAATGGCACCTTAAAGAGATGTAGGGTTCATTTGATATTTTAGCCTTATGCCATTCAAATAATTGAAATCTCAAATTTAAAGAGCAGTTTCGGTTAAGTCCTGACCCTGCAAAACTATGAGTAGTCTTCACTAATGAGTGGAAAGGACAAAATTCTTTGCAGTTTCCTGTGTATTAGATACTCAGTTGTTCACCATTGTGCAGACCTTCTCTGTGTTCCCAGAAAACCATTAATGTAAACCAGTCACTATTAGAAAATTAAGCCCAGCTTAATCCTTCTTCTCATTATTACTTTGCTGGTGACCTTCCTTTTGCACAATCAGTTTTGTTTTCAAGCCAAAACTAATACCTAGTAAGGATAAAGAGCATTTCAAGCCTTCACTAACAGGTTTGCTTAGCTGACAATCTTTCTTATACAGCCTAGCTACATCCAGTGTCATCACTGGAAGGACACTTGGCTGGATTGTGAGCCTGCTGCTCATTGTGAAAGCTATAAAGTTCACTGCCAGATATAACAAGACTGAAAGCTAATTCAGGAACTGTTTCTCAAGAGCTATCCTCTGGCCTCCCTCATCAGAGTGAATGCACTCACTCACTGAAGCATCTTTTGGCAGCAGCTTTGGCCTCCTTCCAGCTGTTTCTCTCTTCTCAGGGATTTTCTTATTCAGTGACTGGTTGTGGTCTTTAATCCTGGTTATCTTGTACAAGGAACCCCACTGAGAAAAGAAGCCTTCCCTGCCATGGAACAGCCATATTAAAGCACATTTGTAAAAATCATAATTAGAAGGTCCTGTCCTCCCTGTGAAATTATCTTTTTGGAGGGATTTGGAAGCACAGACATTTTCTTTTGTACCATGTGACACTAAAGCAGAAACATTGGAATTAAGGCTGAATTAAAATAATGTATTTAAGTAGGACCCTTGGCTGAGTTTATTCACCACGTTGAATAGGCATGTATACTTTCAAATTCTGAAATAATTTTATGAGGGTTTTTGTACTTTTATTAGATGCCATCTAGCATTTGGTAGCATTGAGCAGATACCATCTGCAGTGACTCCACAGGCAGTGATTAAATACAAAGCTCCAGACCTCAAGGCTCCAGCAGAAGGAGAGAAAGAAATGGCCATGAAGAGAAAATCCCCATCCTAAAATGTAGGCAAAGAGGACCTGAATGAAATACTTCTCATGTGGGATTAATCACATCTAAAGAACCAAGGTAGAAAGTACTGTCGATGCATAAATCTTGTGCTAGAGAATATCCTTTTGATATGCACAGACCATGGCTCTTGACAAGCTGTTTGGCTGATGCCTTTCCATGGAAGACAGGTTTTAAAGGATTCTTGCTCCTCATATCCTTTCTGCACTAATGATGGCAACTGCATAGCTTTGCTCATTAAATACACTTATACCCACTATTTCAAGATTAGCATATAGCTGTGCCAACATAGGGCAGCCCTATTCAACATTTGCTTCTCCTGTAAGCTTCTAGTCAGAAGCCTTGCAAAAAACTTTACCTTTTCTTTCCTACATTGAAGTTTTTCTGAAGTACTCTGAAATTGCTTGCTCACTTCAGATCCGCACTACCAAGATGAAAATACTGTGCAAACAGAATGCCTTGGTTTAGCAACCATATTGGTTCAGATCTGCTCAGAGCACGACAGGAGAAAGCCCCTGTAGTACTTGCTTA